CTGAGTGCTGGGATTAAAGGTGTGCGCCACCACACCAGCACCCAGAACCCACTATAAATCCCATTGCCAGCAGAGATTAGAAGGAACTTTAACCAGGCAAACTATTCTGAAAGTTTAAAGGTTACCTCCTAAGGTCTGGCCAAGGGCTAAGATTTCCTTTGAAACAGGCAGAGTCCAGGCAGCCTGGGCCTGCTGTAATCATTCGTTGCTTATTTGCCTTTCTTCAGTCTCCGGAACCGCACAGTACGGAGCTAGGTGCAGAAGAGCAGATCTGGCTAGAGAGCATACTGGTGTATGCTGGGCCCCGCTACATGAAGGACTGTGGCTCCTTCCCAATCTCCCTCTGTGGGAGGAGGCCGCTAGTTAGTCCCCTGCTACTCAGCCCGAATAACCACACAGAAACTTAATACAGTGATTTAATTAAATTAATACATTAAATCACTGCTCGGCCCAATAGCTCTAGCTTCTTATTGGCTAACTCTTACATATTAATTTAACCCATCTCCATTTATCTGTGTATTGCCATGAGGTAGTGGCCTACCAGCAGTTTCAGCATGTCTATGTCCTGCAGGTTCTCCTAACTCTGCCTTCTTCCCGACCTTCAATTTAGTTTTTCCTGCCTAGCTAAATTCTGCCCTGCTATAGGTCCAAAGCAGTCCTTTATTAACCAATGGTATTCATAGCATACAGAGGGAAATCCCACGTCATTCCTCCCGTCTGGTGGTTTAAAAACTCTCTGCTGGGTTGAGGGCCACAAGGCAAAGGGAGTAGAACCAGTACTATTTGCTTTATAAAACCCTAGTGTTGTTAAACAACGAAGAAGTCTCAGGAGCTGTAGTCTTGAAAGCCAAAACTTCATTCAGGAGCAGAAATTATGTTGGAGATCCAAGGCAGCTCAGAGGAAAGGAGATACAAGTTCGGACTGAAAAAGAGAATAAAAGAGAGCATGCAAGATGGTTCAGCGGTAGAAGTGCTTGCTGTCGAGACTTGCAGCCTGCATTTGATCTCCTTCTATTAAAAAGATATCTAAAAGCATGCTAATGAGCATGCACTGTCCACAAAGCAAACAACTAATTACAGCCTGGGTGGACCTCACCATGGCCCTGTAGATCTGATCTATGGAGACCGCAGGCTGTGAACCTTATCTTACAGGACAAAGTCACAGTGTTTATCAGTCTTCCTTTCCTTCCCCTTTCATGCTAAACATCTTCTTTAGAGGCTGAAATTAAGAAATTATATGAACCAGCTGCTATACTGTCTCTTAATAAGGCAGTAAGAGTTGACTGTACATGAGCACCGGAGGGTTTCTGGGAAGGACTTCATGGCTGTGGAAGAATATGAACGCATCCTAGTGCCTTCTGCTAGGAATCAACATTGAAAGATGAAAGGAGGAGGCTGAGCAGATCAGCACATGGATTCCATCCACATCACTTCATTAACCGCAGATCGTTAGCTCCGTGGTGAAGGAAAATGCTTACCTATACTTACATGAAGCCTGGGTTTGGTCCTTAGGACAGTTGCAGAGGAATCATTAGCAATAATGTTCAAGCTCTAAGCGGAAAAATTCTAACATCAGTCCAATTTCTAACTTTTAAGTCATATGTGTATGGTTATTACACACGCACACACACCAACACATCACATACATGATTTATTATTGTTGGAAGAGAGGGGGACTCATCACCTAGCTCTGATTGGTCTGAACTCACTATATAGACTAGGTTGGTATAAAACTCAGAGATCCACCTGCCTCTGCCTCCTAGGTACTGGGATTAAAGGCGTGTGCCACACCATACCTGGCTTATCAACAACATTCTTCACATCCTTTTGAGACAGGGACTCTCATTGGCTTGTGATTCATCAAGTTTACACTACCATGCCCAACATGTTAAAACTTTTTAAAAAAAAAATTGTGCTGTAATTTCATCATTTCCCCTTCCCTTTCCTTTCTCTAATCCTTCCCATGTACCATATCCTTTTCTCCCTCTCAAAAATCATGGTCTGTGTGTGTGTGTGCATGTTCCTAAATTATAAATACAACCTGCTCACTCCTTTAGTGTTACTTGTATGTATATGCATGATTCAAAGCTGATCATTTAGTACTGGATAACCAATTGGGGGTTCATCCCCTGGGGGAAACTATTTCACCCACTCCCAGCATTCCTTGGTTGTCTGTGGGTGGGGCTGTCAGCATTCCCCCTTCAGTGTTACACATGTCTTCTGGTGTTTACACTTCTAAAGGTCTTGGCTAGGCAGCCATATTGTTGAGGCATTATGGTTTAAGCTTCCCTGTCATTTCTAGGAGACAGTCACACAGATTTCCTGGTCCTCTGGCTGAGACACTCTTTCAATTACCTTTCTGCTGCCATGTTCCCTGAGCCTTAGGTGCAGGAGTTGGGTTGTAGTTGTATCAGTCGGAGCTAGGCCCCCTCCTATCACTTGCTCTCTATATTTTGACCAGTTGTTACTTCCATCTGTTGCAATGAAAAGTTTATTTGATGAGTGGTGAGAGCTATACTTACCTGTAGCTGTGTATAAGAATATTTAGAATACAGTCAGGAATCATGTGGGTTTAATAAAACGACACTGGCAGGTTGTCCTCTAAGATCCTTGACCTCACTAGCCCTGAGTTGTCTAGATTTCCATTACCAAGCCTAATTTTCCTTTGTTGATCAGGTCTTAAGTCCAATTAGAGATCTGATGGTTACCACCAATATATGAGCACTACTCTTGCACACTTAGGGTTATTGTGCCATGCTACTCATCATTGGGGTTTACAGACCTCAGTGCTAAGGAAGATTGCTTCCCTCCCTTGAAGTTAACATAGTACCTCCTGGTATAGGAAGGAGGTGTGCAAGTCAGATACAGCTCAAGTCTATCAGGTCTTGTGTCTGCAGTATCTGACGTCTTCAGTAGTAGGGAATTTACCTTCAGCCTCTGGGAAACAGCCAAGGGCAACAGCAATAGTCTATAGAGAGAATTCTCATGCTTCCTATTTGTTAGTCTATTTGTGCTCAGTATTTTTCATTTAGGTTGTAGATTCATGTTTATACAGCTAGCACAATACTATATCAACTATCTCCCGACCCATGTGTGACCTCTAGCTCTATTGCCTCTATATATCCATCAGGATTTTAAAACAAGTTGTTGAAATCTAAAGGGATCAAGTTAATGGAGACTGTTGTCACACACAATTATATATTATTAAATGTAAATTTTCTAGTTATATTCATTAGCAGCTTTCTTACAAATGTCAAATCTATGATCTACTGAGTATATTAGTTGACTTACTAAATCTTATCACATTGAATTTTGAAGATTGGATTATGACTGTTATATTAATACTTACATAGGTAAACACGAAAAGGATTGCATGTAATGCTATAACCTGACCTTGGACCCAGAACACCTCCACTTTTGTAAACTGGTGTCTACTTACTGTACACATGTGCGTATTGGCTTTGAGTTTCCAAAAACAACCAGAGTGACTACTACAATGACTTTTTAAAACAAGATTGACACTGGGATGTGAATTTGATCATGTTTGAGTATATATGAAATCAAAGAACTGGGTATGTATTTAAGGTGAACTTGTAGATATTTCAGTATATGCACATGTATGTGTGTACATATATGTGTGTGTGCATGTGTATGTGTATGTATGTATATGGAGGCCAGAGGTTGGTATAGAGTATCTTTTTCAATCCCTCTCCATTTATTTTGGGGATCAGGGTCTCTCACTGAACCTGAAGCTCACAGGTTGGCTGGCCTGGTTGACTAGCAAACCCAGGAATTCTCCCTTCTCTGTCCCCCTACCCCCACCCCCGGCACTGTGATACAAGCATGCCTCATACTGGGCTTGGTTTCTCACCTCGGTCCTCATGCTTACATTGCATCATTAGACTGACCGCACTATTGCCCCAGTCACTGAGCTTAAGACATACATATTTTATAAAGAAACTTTGAGAAAATTAGTATTTCAGATAGGTCTAATTTATCTATGCAAGCCAGTTGATTTTGGTGATAGATTTATAACTTAATTGAAATACATCTCAAAGAATGACATCTACAAATAATTATTTTGAAAGCATGGCACAAGAAGATTCACATCAATGTTTAGTTTGTTTGTTTTAGATGAAGTCTTAAACAGTCCAGGTTGACATGAACTTGCTATGTAGTCATCCAAGAACTTCTGATCCTCTTGACTCCACCTCTCAGGTTCTGGAACTTGTGTGAGCCGCTGGTTGTTGTTGGGCTGGAGCCTGACTCCCAGGACCTGGACATGCTGGGCAAGCACTATAGCACCTGAGCAACATTCCAGCCTTTCCAGCTATGCTTTATCATCCAAGATGACGGCAATCATACTCACTTTCATTTCACACTCTTAGGAGAGATAATTCAAAATTTACATATTCATAAAATTTTCCTTTGTGAAGTATACAATCCAGTAGTTTAAAGTACATTCAGTGTTGAGCAATAAAATCCAGTAACATTTGAATGATTCCAAAAAGAAACATTAACAATCAATTCCCATCCCCTCACCCCAAATTCTGCCTGACAACATGCACTTTCTGTCTTTCTCCCTATTCTGGACATTTCATAGAAAAAGAATCTTCAAACATGTGACCTTTGCAGGTGGCTTTTTTTTTTTTTTTCCTCAAACCAAACCATTTATTGACAGCAAAGGTCTCCGTAGCTGTGAACCACGTGAGGGGTAGGTAGGGAATAGTGTGGGAACCAGCAGCGGGCTCCTTGCAGGGGTGCTGCCACCCCGGGAACGCTGTGAGCTCATGCCATCACCGGCAAGCAGAGCATAAATAATACTGGTGGGCAGGTGTGATCATACGGATAGCATAGGATAGCCACCTCGGAGAGCTATCAGGGACATGGGGACACGGACAGAGAGAATGTTGGGCACAGGACACATGGACTATGGAGGTGCACAGACACAAAGGGGACAGTGGGTAGCATAGGACATGCCGAGGTAACACACAAAGAAATAGGGCTGAAATTCTGGGCTATTCTGGAGACTACCCAGGAGGCTTCCTCCTCCACCACTTAGGCCCTGGGGTTTGCAGGCAAGACACACTGAGGCAGGACTAGGCAGCAGGTCACTTTCCCTCAGGGCCAAGTAAGGGATCCTGAGGACAGCATGTGCAGATCTAAGGCTGAACTGTGCCTTCAGGGTCCTTGTCATAGATATAGCTGCCCACAGCACCGGTATTCACTCCCTTGGGTCCAAAGAGAATTCCATAGCAAGGCTTGTGGCAGTAGGGCTGGCCGTCATGCTCGGCATGCCCGCCGGGAGTCAGCGTCTCGGAGCAGCGCTCACAGCGCAAGCAGGGCCGGTGCCAATCCTTGCCCAGAGAGGTCACCTTCTCGGCAAAGTACACCCTCTTGTTGCATCGAGGACACATGTTGGGTTCCCCCGTGAATGTAGTGACACTAGAGGCTTTGCTGGGACCTTTGGGCGGTCCGCTCGTCTTCCTCTCCTCTGTTCGCACCACAGGGACCTCGATGGGGCCAGTGACCTGAGGGCCCTCAGCCAGGGGCTTCTCATAGATGTAGGAACCAGCGCCCCCTATATTCACGCCTTTGGGTCCAAACAGTGTGGCATAGCAGGGCTTGTGGCAGAAGGGCTTCCCATCATGCTCAGCGTGGCCCCCCGGGGTCAGTGTCTTGTTGCAGCGCTCGCATTTGAGACAGAACTTGTGCCAGTCCTTGCCCAGGGAGCTCACCTTCTCGGCTGTGGGTTGTAGGAGGTCAGGGCCGCATTCCTGTTCCTCTTCTTGTAGTCCAGAAGCCCACATCCCTCCATTTCACACCACCTGGTGATATCATGCCCCACTCCCACCCCACCCATGGTGGCTCCATGATTAGGCTACTGTTAACATCCAGTACTGTTACTGTCCATCAGCCATCCTGGAGTCCTTTTCTCCTTGTTCAAGCCTAAGCAGTTTAACCCCTCAATGTCTGTTGACTGCACCTGTTTCTACCTGCTCCTTCCTCACACTCATAGTGCCTCTCTTCACACCTGTGCCCCTCCCCCAAAGCCCACGCGAGCCAGGAAAGCCCCAGTACTGAGACGACAGCCCTTGCTCTTCAGCACCAGGTGAGGGACCAGCAGTCCTGGTAGCTGCAGAGCCCTATTTGGCTTCCTTCTCCTAAGCCTGAGATCTCTCCCTCCACCCTCTGCCTCCAGCTGCCAGTTTGGCGCCAAAGGTTTGTGATCAGCAGCTGAGGATTGTGAGCATGCTTCCCCCACCACCTCCACAGCTATGACTGCTGAGCCACATCCCAATGGACGGAAGCTTGGGCCTCCCCAAGGGAGTAAGGCAGGAAACGGGTGGAGAAGTGGGCAGGAAGAAGGGCCTGAGCTGAGAGCAGAGCCAGAATTCCAAAGGGAAGGGGCCAGGCCGGAGCAGAGTGGCCGCGGGGGAGGCGGGAGGGG